GGCCCCATCGGACCGTGAGTCCCTTGCGCACGCTCGCCTAATTGCATTCCTACCCTTAAGACTCCCCCACTTTTCCCAAAAATCCTTGGCACACCCCTTTTCGCACTTTCAGGCCCATACCCCATTCCGATCAGGAAGTCGCGCTGGGCGTGAGGTTGGTATCAGAGCCTGACACGTGGCTAGGGCCTTAGGATTGATAGCACGTTAATTAGGCGACCTGGCTAACCGTGGGCGACCTCGCCCTTGGAACACGCCTAGACGCGACCCTATCAACACTAGAAGCAGATCGGCTAACCGACGAGCAGCCAATATGGCTGCCAACGTGCAAAATCCGGTTCTGCAACAAACTGTTAATCCACCTAATCAACCTGCCCGACGTGCACGAGCTCCCATGTCTCCACCTGATCTCTATCTATTTGATCCGGTGCACCATCTCGCAGGAGCATGGTTGCCCACTCTTAGAGCACAACAGTACGATGATCACGAGGCACAGATCAACATTCCGGCTCGAATGGGAGGAGGCGCTCATCATTGGTATAGTACCTATATATGGGTGGATCTCCCGACCTTCGAACGGGATTTCATGAATCGATTCGATTATGTCCACCCTGAGCAAGCGCTGTACATGATCAAGGACCGAGTGCAAAAACCTCTCGAATCCGTCGCAGAATATCGAAACCGGTTCTACCGAATGTTTGTAAAAACTGAGCGAGGTGAGCAAGTGGGGAGAGATTTGTTCATTGACGGACTCCGCAGTCGAACAATAAGGGCTAAGTTGCGAAACCAGTTTTCCCCCATCACCCATACGCTACAACAAATTATGGCTGCTGCGGAAGAAATGGAACGGAAGTTCGCGGCGAACTTCCTGGAAGGAGAAGATTACCCTAGAGATGAAGATTCGACTGAGCTCGCTCGAGCAAGAGCAGAGCTGGCTGCTTTACAAAACATATTTGAAAACATGGGGTTCGTATCACGACCTTTCACCTATATGGAACAAATAGGCCCCAAACGAGTAATCCTAAGTAAGACTGCAAGCACCTGTGCTCCTATGATGCCCCCGCCCGTCAGGGCATTACCCCCACCGCCGGTAGAGGCTCCTGTACGATCAAATGAATCGACGGCCACTTTCGAACTAACCAAAACTTTGATTAGTTTGATCCAAGAAAGCAAAAAGGAACAGCGAGAGCACAATGCTCGGCTGGAAGCCATGATGAGGAACATGCGACCTATTGCGATGCGTGCCCCTCCGATGCAACAAGGATTAGCCCCTGCCCCTGCTCTCGGAGGAGCTGCAAACAATCTGAATGTTTGCTACGCTTGTCATCAGCCCGGATATCTAGCCCGTGATTGCCCCCACGGACCCCCACAATAGCGGATCGGAGTCGCACCTATGGCTGCGGCCCCCATCGCCAACGGACCTGGACGAGTAAGAGCCTTGATGGAAGAAGTAGAGGGTGGGGGAAGTGCTTTGGCCACCACGGAAGAGGCCGCCGAGCTAATTCCGCTAGATCATTATGTATCGTTGGGATATCCTGGGCTAGGAATGATCGGAACAATCAGACCAACGCCCAAATCGAAAGAGGTGGCGGAATGGCGACCGTTCTTAGGAGAAATGGAGTCGGGAGGACYTACCTTCGTCACAGGAGAGATCGATGTATTAAAMATCATCCGAGCTTTGGACCATCGGATTCCCCTTCCGATCGGTCACCTACTCTCGATCTCCGAGCAAGCCAATGAGCGAATGTTACAGCAYTGTAAAGCGAATTGAAARCGATTCACTCTCGCCYGAGCACCRAACGTAAAAGCCAAAGGCCCCGCGCCGGAAGAAAACCCAACAGACACTCCGGATCCGATACGGATAGGATTAATTCAAAAAGACGATCATTTCCTACGGATTAAACCCATTCCGTGGAAATCTGCAGAGTGCGATATAGAAATTTGGGGAATTCCTTACAACGCAATTATAGACTCGGGAGCAGCTGTGTTGGCTATTTCACTGAGAGTGGTCGAAAGGGCAGGCAGGAAAAATGATCTGATCATGCTCACCGAGAAAGATCAGCTCGTCTCGACAGATGAGGAAAAGATTAAAACTGTGGGGAGGATGACCAATGTCGCCTTCCGATTAGGAAAAGTACACGAGCTTGGGGATGTCATAGTACTAGATGTTAATTTTTTTTGGACTTCCCGCTCTTGTGGCGTTACGAGCAAACCTGGATTTCGAACGACGAGCGATCGTCCTCCGAAATACAGGAGGAAAACCCTACGCTRTGCCCATGCGATTGACCCTTCGCACTACTACTAACGTGGTTCCGCGAGTTTCACCGATGATGGCAGGGACTCTCCGCATGATCTCCTGGGACGAACCCGCAGAAGGAAARTCATCAACTGAAGATGCGGAAARCGGTGRCGAGGATGATCCGRAGATCTTGAAATTGGCACGACAACGTGTTTGTTACCCACCRCCCAAAACGATAGCAAGAACGATGCAACTGACCAGCCGAAAAATTCAAAGGACCAAGGCGATGATCTTAGGCGAGCCCCTCGTACAGATTTCGAGGATGGTCGATTCTTTGGAGCCCCCTCAAACTCTGTACGAAGGAATCGCCCCTCTCCTCGCCCGGTACAGCGACAAAAAGCATTACTGTGATATTACGGATCTACGCAAGTCCTTACTAACCTCGGCCAAAGAAGTGAGATTGTTACACTTGGGGGCGGAAGCAAGCTCTCTGGAACCCCCTGGGCGCTTTAAAGTAGAAACAAACGAACTGGGGATAAAGATCGCAACTAAGGAAGTGCCATGGCAGAATGTTTGTGACGGGATTACCCTGGAAGGACACGTGGCAATCCGGGAAGAAGATGCTCAGATGATGGCCACGGTGTTCTCCTAGCGATCGGATCATTCATTCATCTCGGCGCCTCCACCTAATTTAACAAAACAGGCGAATACGAAACAGATTGACGTTCGTATCCGGGACCAACTTTTCGAACTACACGTTCCACAATATGTGCTGGATGAAATCCACCGGGTAATTGCGGATATTCTAACGAAATACCAAGGAGCCATTAGTGTGTCGGACACTGACATCGGGTTGTCGTTAGTAATCCAACATGAAATTCAGACAGGAAATCACTCCCCAATTCATTGCAAACCTTATCGCTATTCCTTGCTTGAACGCAAAAAGGCTCTCGAATGAATTTGGGAATTCGAAGCCAGTGGTTGGATTGAACCCGCTACCGGACCCTGGTCCTTTCCCGTAGTGTTAGTGCCGAAGAAAAACGGAGCGATTCGCATTTGCATTGATTACCGCAAGCTGAATGAGATCACGATTAAAGATGTGTATCCCCTCCCCCGGATTGATGATCTGTTGGATGCAATTGGGTGCGCTAATTATTTCAGCAAGTTTGATATTCGGCATGGCTTCCATCATATTCTGGTAAGGGGAGAAGATCGATCGAAAACGGCCTTTGTGTTGTTTGAAGGTACGTGGCAGTGGGTTCGGTGTCCAATGGGAATTTGCAATGCGCCTGCCAGGTTTCAGCGAGCAATGAACATGACGTTCCAGAATTTCGTCAACAAGACACGGCTGACGCAAGGGATGATTAACTTTTGCGTGATCATGTACATGGACGACATCCTGGTCTATTCGAAGACTTATCATGGGCACGCGCAACATATTGAATGGACACTGGGCGCACTGAGAGATGCTGGGTTCAAGATTGCGATCGAGAAAAACGAATTTTTCCTCTCGAAAATTTCGTTCTTAGGCTACGTCGTGACACGTGGAGGATTGAGGCCGGACTCGAGAAAAGTTGCGGCGGTGAAGGAAGCCCCGGTTCCCACGTCACTGACGCAGGTTCGAGCCTTCTTGGGGTTGGCGTCGTGCTATCGACGTTTCATCAAAGACTTTGTCGCGATTGCACGACCGCTAACGAATCTGTTACGGAAGGACCAGCCTCTCAATTGGGACGCGGAGTGCCAGCAGGCCTTTGCAACCCTCAAAGACGCTCTGGCAACAACCCCTATTTTGATTCGGCCGGACCCCTCGAAGCAGTTCATTCTCATCACGGACTGGCAACCGGAAGCTATTTCAACTATTTTAGCACAGAAGGGGAACGATGGTCGCGAACACGTCATCGAGTACGCATCTCGAACCGTACCAGACGAACGAAGAAACGACTCCGCACCTCAAGGCGAATGCTATGCGGTAGTTTGGGGAATCCAACACTTCCATCCGTATCTCTACGGACAGAAGTTTCGCCTCGTAACGGATCACGAACCTCTGTTGTTGCTGATGAAACTCACCAACTACACGGGCATGATTGGCCGTTGGGCGGTGCGACTACAAGAATACGACTTTGATATCGTCCATCAAAAGACAGAGCGACACGACAACGAGGACGGGCTGACACGTCTGCATCGACCTGCCAAGGTACCAAAGGGCGAGGAAATTACACCGTGGAAAGAGCCAGACCTGACTAACGAGTCGAAGTACGGACAAGTGGCAGTTCTCCCACGTGGCAAGAAGCGAATTGGTGGCGATGGGTGACGGAGGTAACCCCACTACCCCTCTCTCCCCCCCTTCCTCTTCGTCTCTCCTCTCCCTGCCTGACAAATTTTGCTATTTTTGCGAAGTCATCTCCCGCGTATACTCGGTCTCCACGTGTCCTAATAGGGAAGGGTATGTCGATTGGATAGATTGTCGATAGTGCGTCGCACGAGCCCATGGCTCGTTCATCCAATACCGAAACGATAGTAAACCGTGGTTGTGCCCCTTGTGTCGGACCGACAAGATACCGACCGAGGCTCACTTTTTGGATGCCACGTCAGAAGGATTGGAAAAGACCCGGAAGTTTAGAAGGGCCGAAGTATGGACAGATATTGCCTTAATTGCCACCCTAGTAGGTAACCCCCTCCAAGATTTCACCAAGGAAGATCGGAGGAGGGCCAACGAAAGGGCTCGGGATTATCGATGGATAGAGGGTAGATTAGAAAAATGGAAAACGGACGGCAATGGGATTTGGATGGTAGTGCTGCATCCGTTCATGCGGTATGACTGAGTTAAGACAGCCCACGAGGAAACTGCGGCTCATTTTGCCGTACGAATCACGGAGTCCACTATCGACAAAAATGAGTGGTATTGGTCCAATATCCACGACGATGTGAAATACATTGTCGCCAACTGTCAGGTCTGCGCCGCTGACAAGACGCCAATTTAACCGCCAAGATCGATAGTGCCCACGGTTGTTGAACGACCATTTCAAAGAGTGAGCATGGACACTACCGACATAGTGGTGCCCCCTTGCCCTAATAGCTGCGAATATTCAATCCTATTGGTATTTGTCGACCATTTCTCGAAATGGATCGAAGCGTATCCTTGTCGCACGCGGCAAGCCACGAAAATCGCGCGATATGTCAACCGTTTCCTCGGGATGCATCAGTATACGGAAGAGATCCTGACCGATAACGGGGCTGAATTCAGAGGAGAAGTGTTAAAGAATCTGGTTATACATGGCGTTGCCATACGGAACACTGCACCCTACATGTCCCAATCCAATGGGCTGGTCGAAAACGCTAACCGGATGATAAAAACAGCGTTGCGACGAAACATCGGGGCACGGGATCCGAGACCCTCGCCCGATATCGTCGATCACATCCTGGCGGTCCATCGCAGGACACCCCATGAATCGACGGGGCTAAGCCCCTTTCAATTAAGGACCAATAGTGTCGCTTGCGTTTCAATACCAAGCCTCCCGGATGAGTCTACATTGAACGGACGGCCCACCAGGGCTATGGCTCGAGACAAGGCCAAACGGCACCTAGAGCTAATGGAACGGTCACTGCCAAGACTGGCCCGAAAACGACAGAAAATGACCGAACTAGCCCAAGGCCAACAGGTCCGAAGTTACGAGGCCTGAAATGGGAATGCGGGTTCGCGGCCCCAGTACAAATTAGGGGACATCGTGCAAGTGAGGAAATGTGCTCGCCAAGGTAAGCTAGCGCCACGATTCTTCGGGCGATTTCACGTGATCGAACTCGGACCGAACGGTGCGAACACCGTGCGACTTGCGCCCGAGGTCTCCGGCAGCCGATCAGCCCGACTAATCATCCGCCACGTATCCTACCTCCGTCCCCTTCCTCCCTCTCCATCTTCCCCTCCATTCGATTCGTCCTCCTCCGATAGGGAAGGCGACGACGATCTCTCTCCTATCTTTCCGTCTCCCTCCTGTTCTCTCTCTCTCACCCCGACACCATCGCCATGAGCTTTGCGACAAAACAAGTGATCAGCGCGCGGCTTCTTACTCCGCGGGGGCGAATCAGTGTTATACGGCAGGTGCAGCGGCCCCATCTCTGCTCAGATCTCCTCTGGTTTGCGGCTTTCTTCAGTACGTCAGCGATCTACGCGGCGGCAGAGTTCCAATTCGCGGAAGAAGCAACTACGTGCGTTCTGGCCGAGATCTCGGCCTTTCGACGGCTATCCCCTCCCGGGATTAGCCATATCGCTGTCATTGTCATCTTTACGGGGGATATCACAGCGATTCCGTCGGCGAATCACTCCGACATCTATTGAACGTTGCGCACTTGGGGGGAGGTAAGGACGGCGTGGACGGATCTTCTCGCTCGACGAGGAGATACCATCGTACCAGCGCTTGACATGGACCTCCAGCTCCGCTCGTCTCGAAGATCGCCCGCAATCGTGCTTCCGGAGCTTCGTCCCTTCGAGCCGCCCCAATGAGTCTTCGTCGCGTCTCCTATTTCGGCCTCCCCTCCAGCATCCCCACCCTTTGGCAGTCTGCACGGGCTCCCACCCTCTCCTACCGTGTTAAGGAGAATAGTGCGCCGCTACTGAGTGAGGAGAAGTGGGACGCGTGGTGGGAGAACTATATCGAGCTCGCTTTCTGCCTACTGGAGATAGAGTTCCGCTGGTCAGAGGCGGCCCCATTCGGAGAAGGGCAGGAGCACCCAGAAGATAGCGTGGAGTTTCTGATCATCCAAGCCTGGAGGACAGCGGAGCAGGGCGACCTGCTGGGATTCCTGTTCGGGAAGGTGGAGGAGGGCAATCTCACCTTGATCACGGGCGAGTTGCTGGTGTTTTTGGCTCAGCTGGCGGACGATCTGCCCCTGGACATCTTGTCGCACAGTGACAAGCAGCCTGGCACCCACGTGTTGTCTCGAACGATCGAGCCGAACCTTGTGTGGTCCACGTGCACGGAAATCGACGAGGATAATTGTCTCTATCCCTCCCAGGCGCTCTACTTGGAGATCGACGTTACCGATCTCACGTTTTGGGACCCGATTGCGAGGCAAAACGTGGCGTAGGACGAGGAGATAAGGGGAGCAAACGAAGAAGAGGAAGAAGAAGAGCCATCGAGTGAGGAAAGGGACGATCCGGACTACGTACCGGAAAGAGAGGCAGGGATAGCCGACGAATCAAACCAGCCGCAGGCGCAGGACGAGGGGGTGGAACCAGAAGAAGAAGAAGAAGGAAGCGGGCTATCAGGATCGGAGTGCGAAGGATTCGAGGCTGAAGTGCGCAACGTGGCGCGAGAACGAGCGCGAGAGCGGAGGAAACGGAAGTGCCAGGAAACCGTGGAGGGAAAGAGACCCGCAACAGACGTATCCTTTGTCGATCCATCGATCGTAGACCCGTGGCGTGATCCAGAGCCGCCAGAAGAGGAAGACGATGGAACCACGGCAGAGGGATCACGGAGTCGAAGAAGAAGAAGAAGTGAATCGCCAGCTCCCTCCGGCTCCCTGTCCCGATCCTCCCTTCGTTTTCATCAAGATCTCGGCGTTCGGGCTTCGTCCCTGGTCGTTCTCTCACCGACCCCGTGACTACCTCATGCTCACCCGCCTCCCCCTTGGACCCCCGTTCCCCGATGGATGGTGTCCGTTCGCCCATCACCTTTTCTACCATCTCTACGCTACCCGCCTTCTAGTCTCCGTCTATCCACACGTCACTACTCGCTCTGTGGTTGATTCCTTTCTCCTTCATGTGCTCCTGTTTAGCGCAGACTGGCGGGAATATAACCACGTAGAAGTATATTGTATTGTGTCAGGGACCATTCCCGCCTACGAAAATTATGAAGATTTTCGTGCTGCCCTGCGACGGACCCTCTCCACCATCTACCCCGATTATATTGCCGCTTTTCGTCATCTTCATGAGGTCCCTCGTTTCCCCCTCATCCATCGCTCCTTCCACTACACTACCCTTCCTAATTTCGCCTCTCCCGCCCCCTCTCCCCTTGAACCATCCGCCACCTCCACCCTCGATGATCCGGCTGCCATTCCCCGAGAACGTCTAAGGTCTAGGATCTACCCCCCCTGTTACACTGATGCATGGTTGATGGCACGTGTCGCGGCGACGGCACGAGAAAGATCCCGTCCTTGGATCGTCGAGAGCCCAATCTGAGGAACTAGTAGAAGAGCAGAATTGCCACGTTGGATGACGTCCACACACAATCGAACGGTAAGTGGGATACAGAGAATTGCTCCACGTGTCGATCGATTAGAGAAATCGACACGTGTCAACAAGCAAGCAGGAGCTGGCTAAATTCTGGAACCCCCTGGGCGTCACATATGTGACGAACCACTTTCTGTAACGCTCGAGTTTCTGCGCGGTTGCAACGAGGGGTCCTAAGCTGGGAAGATTGGGCCAATTACGGGAAATCGGGAACGGTGGAAAATTGCATCAGTACCCTTGTTTCTTCGTCTTTTTCGTCGCTTCTTCGGGGCTGGGTGTGTCCTGGGACGGCCGGTAGAATGGTTGGTCGGATGGATGTCTGGCGCGCCACCGCACGCGCATTAATAAATGTTGACGTCGTTTCTTTTGGTTCGGTTTTCGATCTTTTGGGCGCGGACATCGCGCGAAAAATTGCTTCGTTCTTTTTGAATTTTCTTTTGAATCTTTTTTTTTTTCTTCGAATTTTGTCAAGCCACCCCCCGATGGCTCTTGGAATTTTGGACTTTCCTTCAGGAATTTGTGCTTTTGATTTTTCGCATTAGATAGGAATTTAGGAATTCAGTAATTAGGATTTTCCCTGTCGCGCGGCGCCTTTTGTTCTCGCGCTTCTTCATGCGGTTGCAACGGTACTCTGATTAGTGGGCGCCCTTAATCGTATGTGTAACTGTAATTTTGGGCGGGCGCCATTGTAACTGTATCTCTTTTCTTGGACTTCGTCTCCCCCGCCCTCCCTCTCTTTCTTTTGCTGAAATTTTGTAAGTCGCGGCTTGCATGCTCGGATCGATGCGTGGAGAAGGGTCACGTCCCCCACACCACGCCCGATCATGCAGAACGCAGGCGCTCCCTCTCTAATCCTCACTCTAAGTCCTGGTAATTCCGTGTTCTTCGCGCATGCGTGCACGCTATAAATTTCGGATGCACGATTAGTCAACTCTCTTAACCCGTTGTTGGAAGCTCGGGGTTGCGCGATCAGGAAGGGTCGGCACACGAGCAAAGTAAGAGGTGAGTAGAGTAGGAGTTGGGCAACCCGACGGGTTGGTGCCGAACGCGCGGGATTGACGTGGGCCACGACGGACTATGGGCACGGGTGAATCCGACGGGTGCGGGAGGACTAAGCGGGGTAACAACTTCGTGGGTGGGTGCTTGACGACGGACTGTCCGCATCGGAGAAAGAGAGAGAGAGAAGGAGAGAGTTGAGATCGATAAACGCGGATTTGCTGTTTCTTTGTCTCTTCCCCCTCTTTATCTGTGTACATACATTTTGATTACGGCTCCGGGCGGTTTGCCCGTTCTTATTTTCGTTTCGGCTTTCTGAGATTTGGGCTTCGGTTTTTGCTCACAGTTGTTTTCGCTATGGCATTATGCGTGTGATTATCGAATGTATGGATGTAGGAATGTGTGGATGTGTGGACGTTATGCCTGTCTATACATCGTTTTGTTGAGAATCCCTGTCCTTGCCTTTTGTTTGTGTCAAATCTTTGCCCACACCTGAGGCAGTTGTAGATGGGATAGGAATATGGCCCCGATAGCGATTTTGTCCTCGTTTTTGCTTATCTCATGATGAGGGTTGTGATATGGTTGCATCTGACATAATCCGAAGCAATTAAACGAT